CACTTTTCGAAGTTGGTTTTTGGTTGTTTCTTGACTTGCCGGTCGAGTATGGCCCAGAGGTTTTCGATGGGGTTCATGTCTGGAGATTGGCTCGGCCAGGGCAACTTCTGGATACCATTTTCTTCCTGCCACTTTTGGATGTTTCTAGCAGTGTGACATGGTGCTCCATCTTCCTGGAACAACATTGTGTTCTTGTCCACGAAACCCGAGGAATAAAGTGGCAAGAGTCCTTCTTCCAATATTTCGACATATATCACAAAATTTATGTTGCCAATGCACTTCACTAAGCTCGTTCTCCCACCAACCCAAACCATCACGCTGAAACCACCATGCTTCACAGTTGGCTGCAATCTGTTGAGCCAAAACTCTTGGTGAGGCATTCTCCAGACCCATTTCCTTCCACTGTCCGAAAATTGAGCGAATCTTGATTCGTCTGAGAACAATACAGTCTTCCAAAATTCCAGAGGCTTGGTAATCATATCACTTGCCCACTTCTTTCGTCTGACAATGTTGGCAGGTCTTAATAAGGGCTTCCATCTAGCTGCTCTGCAATGATAACCCAAACTGGAGAATCCATTGAACAGATTTCGGGCTCATCCCACCAACTTTGGCCACTTCTGCAATCGTTAATCTGGGATTCATTTCGATGCTCCTCTTGACAGCCCTTTTTGTCCTCTCCGATGGACCAGGACGACCCGGAGGCTGCTTAGTTGTTTCCTGAACTGCATGATGATTCTGTTGCCTGTCGAAAGTGGGATTCCCAAATTCTGCGAAATTTGCCGCTGACTTACTCCACCATCTGCTTGACCAACTATCCTTTAACAAAATCTGACAATTCGAGAGAACCTTGAGTTCTAGGCATGTTGTAGCACAAGATAATTAGTGTTCGGACCATTTTCATTTATATAGTGCTCTGTGAACACAAATTAGTTAGCATAAATCAATTAAATGACGGGACATTAGGTGTCTATTTACTTGTGACCACTCAGTGTACATGCAGGTATAGGGTACAAGAAGAAGTTAAAGTAAGTTAGTGACAGTGATTGTTAGTTTAGCCATTATGGACGACTTATAAAGCGAGTTTCATGGTATTGCAACAACAGAGATAAAGAAGGATAATTTGTCTTGTCAGAGGTGTTCTAAACTAACTTAACCCGCCTGTGTGGACTTTGACGAAAAGGAAACAATTATTTAAAGCTCTGGATACAACTGTGATAACCAATAGTGTAACGAATTTGTGTACATATATTTGACTTGTTTTAAATATATTATTTTAAAACAAGTGGAGTGTGTGCTGTCCCTTTATTGTTGAGATTTATCGCCAACAAGTCACAGACACATACTATAAAGAATCTTGGACCTATGAAACCTGACATTTGGCAAGCCAGCCAGGATTATACACTAATAAATGGTGATGAAAGAAGACGTGAACGACAGCAATAATGAGCAGCCTATGTAAGCACAGCTGTAGTGGTGGCAGCAAAAATATTGGAAGTTTACAACCACGATATTTACCCATGTAAACATATTTTGATAAATGGATAGAAATAGGTGAGCAAAGACAACAACAAGACCCAGAGAGAGAGAGAGAGTATAGGCAAAGAAGAGAGGAAGAAAGACTAAAAGAAGAAAAGGCAAGAGAAAGACTAAAAGAAGAAAAATAAGAGACTGGAAATAGACAGAATGAGAATACAGTGTGAAAAGGGAGAGTGGAGAGACTGGAAATAGAATAAGAACACAAATCGAAATTGCCAAGCTCATCCAACAAAAAAGGAGAAGAACCCCAGAATGATAATGGGGTCAGGACCAGCTGACCCAAGCTGCCCAAATTTGATGAACAGAAAGATGACGTGGACCTACCAAAGGTTTTTATTGGAAGTTCAAAGAAGTCAAACCTGATACCTGGAGAAACTATATTTAAGTTTGTGGCATGTCTGCAGCAATACTTCACAAGATGGACTGACATGGCCAGGTGTTAAAATAGTTTTGAGGGACTGGCTGATCTACTAATACATGAACAGTTCATGATAACGTGTTCAACTGAAATGTCACTGTTCCTAAAGGAGGGAGCACCAAAAAATGTGGATGAGATGATCAAGCTGGCAGAACAGTACATGGAAGCCCATTGAGGGAGTATAACTGGTAAGTCCAAGAATATCCAGTTAATGTCAAAACCAGTGGTGGCTGACCAGAAGCAGGAGTCCACCAAAAGTGGCAGGAGGTTAAGTGACAAATGGGAGAAGAGATGCTGTATTTGTTATAAAATACAGCACATTGCAAATGAGTACAAATCTGGCACCAACAAAAAACAACGGAAATCTCAACATAAAGCAGCTGGAGATACCTACAAAGATGGTGCTGACAAGAAGCAAGAGAAGAGTGACTATCACCATGGATGCTGCTGGCAGAAAAAAAACAGAATAGAGACATCCTTTCAGATTCGCCACAAGAAGGAAGTGCTATTTCCACGATTAACCAGTGCACAACTTATGGTCAGATCAAGTTAGCAAATGGGTCTACAGTGCCAGTGGTGGTTGGAGCATGTAACAAACATCGAGAGGTGCCAACACATTGCAACATGCCAGTAGGCAAAAGCTATGTCAGGGACAAGAAGGGGAAAGTTCTATGAGACTCTGGGTGCAGTAGTACAGTAGTGAGAACCAGTCTTGTATCTGATGGCCAGATAACAGGCAAGGTACACTTTTGTGTGCTGATTGATTGAACAGTGACAAAGTTTCTAATAGCAAAAATAAAGGTGGACAATCCATACTATATGGGAGATCTTGAGGCCATGTGTATGAAGGCACCCATCTATGACTTGGTGATTGGAAATATACC